CCGTATAGCGGGGCGAATCTTGCGAAGCAGATTTCTGCCAGTCCAGTTTCCGCCTAAACTGAGTTGCTTACTGTATATTGTTAACAAGGCCGAGCAGACCGAGTTTACCAGCTAGTTTACAATAAGAGCAAACGCCGCCTTGGGCTACAATTTTGAGCAAAACTCTTATTCCCAAAAACCTTGACGAATTGACGGTCTGCGCATTCAATTTTGATGCCTTTTCTAAACAACTAGACTTTTTGTTTGCTTTTTGGGCTAGAATTTATGGCTTCGAGGCAATCCACCTATCGGTCTGCTCGTTGCCTCTACGCGGTAACCTCACAGCCTGTTAGCATGCGACACGAAAAAATGGCTTTAGAGCTTGGCTGTAAGTGGTTTCACGAACTTTTTACAGACACTACACAAAAGGTAAACAACTCTGGTGTGTTATTATAATACCGTAAGATAATAATAAAGCGTCTGTCTTCAATACCTTCTGCGGCCGCAAGCCGAATGCATACATCGTAGTCATGTAGGCATTGAATGCATAAGGGTTTTTTTACATTGATCTAAGGCTAGCCGACTACCAAATCAGAGCTTTTATCCAGCCAGACATATCTGTTACCGTTTTACCATACCCGAAGAATTGAGACTTTGTTGGCCCAGGGGCGGGATCGAATCTTGATCCAACATGGTATAGCGGCGCTCATGCCACTACCTCTTAAGCGGATGTTGGTATGATAGGGTCCGTAAATAACAACAAGTAAGAAACTCTGGGCTTCACTGATTCCTCCAAAATTATTTCACGTAAAAAGCACTTCAAGTTTGCTGCCAGAGGTTGATTGAACACAATGCCCTCTTATCTTGGAAAAGGTCAAATAGGTGAAAAAACATATTCGTTCGAAGTCAAGGATGCGCAAACGAGAAACCTATTTGACTCTGTATAAATAAAGCTGGATGTTTGTTTGTATGTCTGCCTGTCTGTATGTTTACGATGTTTTAATTATAAATTTTTATTTCGGAGTCAATGTAGACCAAACCTTGCACAACTTATTTCTATTCTTATTCTTTATTTCAATCAAATATTATTCAATAATTTAGACATCTTTCTTTTCTCCGAGTTAGACTGAGTTAAAAACACTAACGACACTTGGAAATAAAACAGAATATAACAACCATGGAGGTGAAAATAACAAGCAAAGAACTGAAATCCTGAAATCAAGGACATAAAGTCATTTCATTTTTTCCTATGATATCATTAGAGTACTCAGATTCTCAGATTTTCTATGAGATGAGGGCAGAAGGTTGTGGATGATGAGTACCTGAACAGTCGAGGATCTAAAGCAACTTCGAGGCAGGGCGGGTGTCGTGGGCTGCTTTTTGTTATTGATCGATATTGATTCTATCGTTTTGCAAATTTCGAGCTAGGCGGCTAGGAGTTGACAAACGGGATTAAGCGAGCATGCTGATTACGATTATCAACAGGGTCGGGCGGAGTCGAGTTTGTCAGCCAGTGGGTAATAATGGTGAGATGAGCAGGCACTTCCCTTTAGAGAGTATCAGAATTTGACCTTTTTCCAAATGTAGATGCTTAAGGGAGCCAATTTCCCCTTTTTGCCGAGAATTTTTGTCGCTGACGTCACTGA